CAACATTTGACAAAATACAGCACCAAAGTAAAATCAAATAGATGAGATAAAATACTAGCACAACAAAGATAAAATAAATAAAAATGTAACCCACGCTACTAAGCGTGCTGGGGGGGGGGAATTCTAGGAGCTGAAGTCCATATATTTTACATTTGAGAAACGAGGGCTTAGTCGTTCCATGAACTCTCTGCTCAAGACAGGACTTGAATTCAAATATAAACCTTGATTTTATTGACTATATAAGGAGGAACTTCTTGATAGACCGTTCCTCTGCTGTATAGATCTTACTGTCTATGAAGTTGGTGGAATTTTCATCTCTGAAGGCTTTGTAGAAATGGCTGACAGTCTGCTCTCATAAATAGTTGAATAGGTTTTCTTGCACACCACATAGATGAGCCTTGTGGTCTTTCTCAATGCCACAATTCTATGATTCTAGTCCAGCTCTCTAACCACGTGCGGTCTGCACACCACGCAGTGTCCCTACACTCCAGCTGCAGGAATGAAGTTGGATTGGCTGGGTCTTTTTCTGAGATGCCAAAATAGCAGCTTACTTATCCTCCTGGTTTCCTCCAGACCACACAGCTTAAAATATGGGCAAGCTTTGGGCCAAACTAGAGAGGGCAAGGTCACCCCATTTCTTTTTCTTTGCTTAAAGGAGAGGTGGCGAACTATGGGCCTTTTATGACTTGTGGACTTCAACTTCCAGAATTCCTGAGCCTCTATCTGTCCTTTAAACAATCAAGTGTTGGCCTCCTGGGAACCTTGTCTCTTAAGTGAAGTTTTTAATCTTTATAGAGTCATATAAAATTTCAAAATGTGAGTCCATGATATTTCAGAAATAAGAGAAGAGTGGATTAGATAACAGACCAGATTTTAGCCCACAACTTCAAACAGGGCAATATTGATGCACAATATGTAAACTCCTGCAGCTTGCCAAAGAGTCATTCAGATTGCAGAATTAAGAGATTTGGAGGAAGAGTGAAAGGCTGCAGAGTCCCTCTTAGCTTCAGGGTTTGAGGTTGCTCAGAAGCTTCCAGGGGCTTCTGCCACCTCAGTGCTGCTGCCCGAGAACCCACCTTGCCGCCTTGGTCTTTCTGTTCCAGGAGAAACACCATGAGGTACGGCTGGATCGCCTGCTGCTGCATTGTGCTGCTGCTACTCGCCCTTTCCAGCGGAGCGGCTTCTTCCCGCAGGGCAGGTAGAAGAGGAGGCTCAAACGAAGGGTCGCCATCGCAGGGAGAGGCTCACTCTAAGCCGAAAAGCAGCAGCAACAAACAGAGCCAAGCCGGAGGTGGCCACGGTGCAAAAATGGCAGGGCTGGCCGCAGTGGGTGCAGCGATGGGATACGGCTTGAATTCTCTCAGCAAGTCCCACCATGCCCAGAGAGGACATAGCTCTCCTTCGGCTGGGAGAGAGAAGGGCCTCAGTTCCTCGGCTGTGGTGGTGAAAGGCCAACTCCACAGCCAGGCCTTGAAGGGGCCCAGCCTCCTGGCCTTCTCCCTGCTGGTGTGTGGCCTCATCACATCCCTCGTCTAGAACTAAAGACGGGTTGTGGGGCATCAGCCCAGCCAGAGGTTGAGAAGAGGACCCGTCATGTCTCTCGCCCTGGATTTGTTTTGCAGTGGTGAAGCTATCTCCTTTTGTGGCTTTTAGCGCTGACAACTTTAAAGCAACCCAAATATAACACAACTGTGTCTGAGTGCAGTTCAAGGCAGAAAGGGTAGATAATAAATATTTATTTTTCTTGCCTCAAGTGTAAGATCCCTTCTCACTGTGTCCCTCAACAGCAGCCTTGTGGGTTAGGCTGGGCTGAATGGAAGCAGCTTGTCCCAAACCACCTTCAATCCAAGTTCTGCTTCAAACCTTAATCCTTAACTTGGCAGGCATATCTAAGAAAAGAGCATTTCGAGGTTCTGCCCTCAAAGGAGACTTGGCCCTGGATTCTGGCTGGGGGGAGGTGGGGGCCAAGCAGGCAATGTTTCTCACATGGATGGAAGGCGTTTGAAGATCTGTGTAGAATTGGGATTGCCCACTTTGTGGATAGTGTCGCCCACTTGGAAGATGCCAAGCTTGTGGAAACATTGCCTGGGATATATGTAGGCTCAAGGTCCAGAATACCTGCACATACCTGGTTCTATCTCGCCCTCCTGTTTATTCTCCAAAGGTTCATGCATTTCAGGAATTACAGCTACACCTTAACTTAATGGAATGATAATAACAAGGTGGATAAAAATGCCAAATCCAGTCTAAACATCTGGCTGACTATGTGAACAGCAATAATAGCAACCATAATATTACCAATAGTGATAGGCGCCTTGGGTGCAATCCCAAAACATCTGGAGCACCACTTAAACGCTATCAGCATTAACAAAAATCACCATCAGTTGACTGCAAAAGGCAGCTTTATTTGAAACAGCTTACTTCCTGTGACAATATCTGTAACACCTTCAAACAATAACATCTGCCTATCCCAGGTCCTTGGGAAGGACTCATTAGATGGATAAAAATGCCAAACCCCATCTAAAGATCTGGCTGACTGTGTGATGCAACATTAAAATAGAAATTACGTGTCTAAGCAGTAGTAATATTAATAGTATGGATTTTTAATTATTCTCTGACTTTGGCCTCAATATTTTTTTTACAGATGGCCCATAAAATGTTAGGAGGCAAGGAAAATATTAGTAAATATTTGTCATCTGGCAGTATATTTTGTTTTGCTATTTTAAAAGACATAAATAACTTGGTGTGAAAAAAACCCCACAATAATAAAAAGTTCTGTTTGCTCTGGTGTTTGCAGTTATTGTGTAAGGACATCCTTCCTGTATGTATAAGCTGTTCTCTTCCCTTGCCAATCCAAATTCAGCATTTAATTAGTGCATGTTATCTAAGCTTTTATTCCCAGAGGTGGAGAACAAAATCCATCAATGCACACACACACACACACATCTGATCACAACAGTGAATTTAAAGCAGTTCTTATGTAAAAGCATGTTCTGAATGCGAGGACCATATTGACAAACTGCTATACAGCGTCTGTGTTATAAGCACTGAGTTTCAACTTTTGGGGATAGTTTGCAGTACAAGGTTGCCCTCTGAAGGCAGAATTAGGTAGAAGTCCACAAATGCACATTCAAGAGCAGGTTAATGTTTTTGTGGCCAACTGTTGACTGTTGTGGGAATGGTTTTCAAAGTGAGTTCTGGAAGTTGAAGTCTGCAAGTCTTAAAGTTGGCAAAGTTGGAGACTCCTGTACTAATATTTGATCTCCTTCTCACTTTGAGTTAACCACAGACCTGACCTGGTATTATCTTTTGACTGCCATGCTCCCATAAGATTATCCTCATTTCATTGCCACCCTTTGGGTGGAGTAATGAAAGCTTAAGGGGGACTGTTATTAATCTTTATTTATTTAATGTGTTTGTGTATGGGTGTGTGTGTGTGTAGAGAGAGAGAGAGAAAGAGACTCATTTTTGTATCAAATTCTGTTTTATTAGAATTTTGTACTAAGTTGCATAAGGCATTTAGTATTTTGATTAGTAATTATTTAGTATTCAAAGTCATAGGCACCAGCTATACGTAATCTTTTAAGCTTTGTCACCCGTTATCTCTGAGGGAATTGGCAGTGATTGGGAACAGAGGTAATAAAAGCAGGACAGGGATTAGCAATGGGACAGCAAGTATCACTGCAGGATAGTTTCTGAGGAAAGAATTACGAAATTTGCTTCATTTGTATGCTGACATCCTGACGTGCACTTGCTTTCTCCTACCCCTGCTCTCCATGGATGCCCATCAATCCAGGTTTCTGCATGGAAGGACAGGGGATGAAAGGAGGAAAAGGAAGAAAACATCATCATACATGGATGGCCTGGAACCATCCAGACCCAGATACCTTCTCAGCAAGTTCTTGGGTTCTTCACTACTGCTGCCTGCTAAAGAGTTTTTTTTGGTTTCTCCTGATTTTCCCGAGATCTGGCTCCCAGGAGGCCACATTATCACCACCTTCTGATGCTTTCACTTACTATAACTCAGGTTTTTGTCATTTATTTTAAGTGCTTTCCCATTTTGCTTTGATCAGTCATGCCGGTATGTGATAATGACTTGGGAGAAAAAGAGCAGAACGAAAGCCCAAGAATCCTAGACGAGGGCAATGCAGCCTCCGGCAGACAAAAGGGAAGCAGGATGAAGATGCGAAGGCTTGAGAAAGTAATTATGAAAGGGCCTAAGGCAGGGGTAGGCAACCTTGGCTCTTTTATGACTTCTGGACTTCAAGTCCACGAGTCATAAAAGAGCCAAGGTTGCCTACCCCTGGCCTAAGGGAAAGGCAACTGACCTCCCCACTTAGCATCTCCATTCTCTATGCTAGGATAATGGCAAGATGTAGGATGGAAACCATAGCTCAGTGTTTCTCAACCATGGCAACTTTGAAATAGGTGGACATCAACTCCCAGAATTCCCCAGCCAGCATTGCTTCTCCATGGTCACGTGATCTACTTTCGGATGCTTGACAACTGACTCATATTTATGACGGTTGTTGCAGTGTCCCGGGGTCACGTGATCCCCTTTTGTGACCTGGCAAGCAAAGTCAATGGGGGAGGCCAGATTCACTTAACAACTGTGTGACTAATTTAACAACTGCAGTGATTCACTTAACAAATGTGGGAAAAAGGATGTAAAATGGGGCAAAACCTCCAACCATCAACTCCATTGTGGACCCAGGAATTAGTGCTGGTATCTGCTAGATGTGTTGGATAAAGTTTAACAAGTAGTGAGATGATTTTGGTGGCTCTGAACTATGGGAATTCCTGTCCAGCGTTATCTGAAAAGCACCAGAATGTGTGTGTCATGGTTCTAATAGATGAGAATTTGGCTGTGTGTGTGTGTGTGTGTGTGTGTGTGTGTGTGTGTGTGTAAGCCTGTAGCTGCAGATAAGTGTTCCTGGATGACCTTGTATCTTCCGAGGTTTTAATTGTATCTGGGTCCAATACCCTTGTCCACTACTCACCTAAGTGTAGAAGATGGGAATGTGTTTGCAGAGGACGTTAATTGTGGTTCCCAAGTTTGAACGATCCACCTGGGATGTAAGGAATTCTTCTTCTTGCGCTTGCTCCTTCCCCTTTGGCATGAGGTGCATGATGGACAACTTGGTCTACAAGAGAAGACAACATAGCTGGACCTCCCCTTTCCTTTTGCTGACAAGAAGAAAAGCTAGCTGGTAGGGCTCCACAGGGTTCTGCTCAGGGTTCTGTGGGACAATCGTTACCTTTTCCTCACTGCAAACTAACTGAGTTTCTCTCCATTAATGCTGATGTTTGCCATGTTGTCCTGGAACCTTTTCTTCACTTATCAAAGTCCCCATCCTTACCTGGAATTCTTGGAGGAGAGCGTCTATTCCTTGGACATTTTCCTTATCCATCCTGGTAATGTAACAGGCTTTTTGATGTTCAGGTTTGTAGCCAATCAGCAGCTGTGAACCAGGCATTGAGATTCCTTTAAACTCGGTTTACACCTTGAAGTACATTTCTGCAGCACGTACGCCAATTGTAAAAGTTCAACATCCAATTTGCCCAAACGTTAAATTGCCCTTGATAAAATATTTACCTGCTTCTTTTTAGCATCTAATATTGCAATGCTGCCTTTGGTGAGAGCTGCAGTGCATCTGCTACTAAAAGTTGTCTAATATTCCTTGGTGGGAATTTAGCAGACTGGGGTGGAAACAAGTCCCCAGAGCAGGTCACCTTCTAGGTCAGACATGGTCAGGACTCTAACTAAACTTTATGAAATTATAGATTTGGGTCTCATGAGTCGGGAGGGAAGGAAGTGACATCACAAATGTCATCACACAATGATGCAAATGATGTATTAGCATCTGCATCATTTGTACAACAAGGCTACGTACAAAACTACAACAATCCCAACAATTTATTTATAAAGGGTTGATCAGTTTCATAACCTTCAGCCATGTATTTTTAGCCATACACTACATGTAGCTTAGTCTTAGGTAAGTTTTTGGTGATTTGTTTATAAAAGGAATAATTGCCTGACTCCAATGGATTTATTGATCTGCCCTATCTATCCTAAATTATTGGCTGTTCTGTGAACATGTGTCTATTAGCCACACATCTTCACTGAACATTTATTTGTGCCTTGGAGGGGGGGGGAATCAGGGTTTCTCTGCATGTCCCAGTAGCCACACAATGCTGCCTGCCTTATGGGCACCTCGTCAGAACTGCCACTTCTTGCTTGCCCTCCGCAATTGCCCCGGGACCAGTCTGGCTTGAGCCTGGGGGGAGGGGGAGCACTTGGAGGGAAAGTGAAAATTAAGAAAGTGAAAGTGCCTGCCTGAGACCATGTTTCAAGGTCACTGCGCAAGGAGAGAAATGCAGCTGCAATCCAGCCTACAGTCAGAGTGGCCCTTTCCAAAACAACAAGGAAGAATTTCACATTCAAGACACAAATGGACTTTTTTCAAATGTCAAAGTTCAGGGCTACAGTGGGAAGTTGTGTGCATTTGGAAAATCTGGGAATAGTTCTTTTGGTCAGGTTCCATACAATTGTGTTTCTCTCCGTGAGCTTGGGAAGGCGGGCCAATCTGTACACAGAATCCTCTTAATCTTCCACGGCTCACCCTAAGTGCTGCACTTCGGCTTCTTGTGTGCAGAATAAACCTGACTATTCCTCCAACCCGTAATACCGGGGTTTCTTTCTCTCCCAGCTGCCGCTCACCTTGGCAAAATCATAAATGATGGTGGCTGGGTTGTGGATCCCGTCATCCACATAGTAAGTGGCTACTTCTTCCTTATTCACGGAGAACTTCAGCTGGGATTCTTCTCCGTCCAACTCGTCAATGGTCATGTGCAGAAGCTGCGTGGAGTAGAAAGAGATCCCTTTCGGCTTGCTTGCAGCAACAGTTACTAGAGCAGTGGTTCTCAACCTTTTTAATGCCACGACCCCAACCGGTCGTAAGTCGAGGACTAAACTGGTCGTAAGTCGAGGACTACCCAACCGGTTGTAAGTCGAGGACTTTCCCTGCCCGGGAGCGCCGCGCATGCGTGGTTCCGCCCCCTGCGCCGGCCGAGGCGTAGCTGGCAAGCGGCAGAGACGGAGCAGGCCGACCACCAGCTGGCCCAGCCCAAGGGAGGTAAGGCACCCGCTGGAAAAGGGGAACAAAATGGCAGACAAAAAAAATGGTGGACAAAAAAAATGGCGGACAGCCTTGCTTGGCGACCCCCGTGAAATGGTCGATCGACCCCAAATGGGGTCCCGACCCACAGGTTGAGAACCACTGTGCTAGAGCATTGGTTTTACTAGAGGTGATTTGAGACTGGACAGGAGAGGTGACCCTCCTCTTGTGGTGCAGAGTTTCCTCTTGGCAGCCTCTCTAATGGAAGAGCTGCTAAAAGCTTATTGGCCGGGAAGATTGGAAACTTAGACAAACTTAATTATTGCTGTTGTTATACTAATTATTTCAGGTTTTTTAAGGAACCAACTGGATGGAGAGCACTTTGTACATGTATCTGAACCTTCATAACAGGAGCATCCAGGGACGTGGTGGTAAACGCTGAAGAACCAGCTCCGTTATGTCTCTGCACTGCTAGCTGTGGAAGGTTGGAGCATCGTGGCCCAGCTCTGCTCTTAAGCAGCTCACAAAATCCCTGAAAATTTACCCACCAGCTCTCAGGAGTCGGTGCAAGGCAGTCCCAGAACACGTCTGGGTCTCCCTGCTCCTGCAGCTTCCCTCGCCTCTCCTGCCGGCTTCAGACCCAGGGCAAAGAGCCCCTCTCCATCCAGCCCAGTCTCCTGGGGCCCAGCGCTCCCCTACTTACAGCCTCCGTGTGCACCTGGGTGATGTGCAGCCCCATCAGAAGAGCGCCCACGACAACCAGCACCACCAGGCCAACAACCACCAGGACGATCAGGAACCGCTTGATGTTCACCGGGCAGCCAACTAGTTTGGGCAGTTGGCACAGCAGGTGTGGGAGGAAGCAGCACAGCTGGCAGCAGCAGTCACAGCTGGGGGGGCAGCAGCTCGGGCAGGAACAGCACTTGGGGCAGGAGTCACAGCTGGGACAGGAGTCACAACCACAGCAGGGGCAGCAGCAGCAACCTGGACAGGAGCCGCATCCCGGACAGGATCTACAGCCCGGACAGGATCCACAGCCTGGACAGGATCCACAGCCCGGACAGGATCCACAGCCCGGACAGGATCCACAGCCTGGACAGAGATCACAGCAACCCCCGAGCTCTGGATCCAGGGCATGGTAGGCCTGTGGAGGTAGATAAAAGGAGAGAGAGAAAGAGAGAAGGAGGGAGAGAGGGAGAGAGATTATGGGAGATCCACGGGAGGGAGAAGAAGAGAAGAGAAGGTCTCTGGCACTGCAGGAGTGAAAGGGGCCCAGGAAGGAGTCTCCTGGGGACTCAGCTCTGTCCTCCTGCCCTGGTCTCTGCCACTGTGCCACACACCCAGGCTCCACGTCCTTTCCGTTAGCTTGGTTGATAGCAAGCAAAGTTCCTCCCTGAGTCCATGGCCCCATCACCACTCCTTGCCTTTCACCCCCGCTACCTGTGACTGCTCTTCTCCAAGCCCCCCTCCTGCTAGGCTACAGGGCCTTTGATGCGTGTCCAGTGATTTATTAATTGATTTAAGGAATATATAAGCCGCCTGAGTCCATCACTACTCTGGGTGGAAAGTAAGAAGCTTTATCACGCTGATTCACCAGTGCAAACAATCTGAAATGATAAACAGAATACTAAGAAATCACAGAAGAAGAAATACCAAGAAAAAACACCAGATATTTCACCAGGTCTCCCCACCACCCAAGCCTTAGCATTAAGGGCTCCTTTCAAGGGGGCCAGGATGGAGACCATCCAAATCTCTCCAGGGAGACGTTGTTCAGGAGGCCGAGTGCTGCGTTGGAAAGAGCCACGCAGAGGACATTGCTCCATTGTTGAGACCCAGAACGGGCCCTGGGGGGGTCTGTAGGGGAGGACAATTTGTCTGGCTTTGCTGCTGGATTCTCCTTAAATGAGAAGATCCTGCCTGCAGGAATGCCCTGAGCCACCTTTGGACCACCAAGAGTTTACTCAGCTCATGGGAAAAGCAGGTAACAGACAAGGGGTGGGAAATCATCTCTCTTAAAAAAGCGAATTGAAACGGGTGGGAGAGATAAAAGAGGTGAACATCCATCACCGCCACTGCAGTTCAGCACAATATTTGCTTGGTCTGGAGATTTCCAAAGTCCTGGTATCTATTTCCAAGCTATACCTCAAGGAATTCCCTTTTAATTATAACTTCTGAGACAGGAACTGTAACTATGAGCCATCGTCAAGAAATATTGAATAACATTTTGCAGAGAGCCAAGCTTTTAATTGGGCTTTTAAAAGGCAGATAATTGGGTCTTCTTACAAGCGAACCTGCTTCAAAAGAAGGTCCCAGGTGCTCAGGTAATTCAGGCACTTACTTAAACCTGAACCTCTGCAATTTGGAAAAAGAAAATGCCAAGGGAAGGAAGCGTAATCATGTAGCAATGGGACTCACAGCTGATGGTGCTTTGAGTAGAGTCTCCTTGGTGACAACTTCTGTCTTCTCCATCTCCATCACTCGGCTCTCTCCTCAACATGAGGTCTACCCCTCGCCAGTTACTGAAGTGGAAAGTCAAAGTTATATATATACAGTATACATACACAGGGAGTCTACTGTAAAGGAGGAGGGAGTGGTTTTTCCTTCTCTTGGATGGTTAAACATGAGATCTTGATTCTCCACTGTTCCATCCTTCTCAGCCAAGTTTCTGAGACAGGGCCCACTTATTGTGAAACACACATGGCTAAAGACTTTATCATTCAAAAGGCTCTTAATGGAGTTAAGTGGACCCTTGTCCCCAACTGGATGGTCCTTGCCATCTAAAAAGTGGCAAACATTAGATCCTGTGATCCTTGTGAGGGGCGCTCCCATCCTTATGATAAGTATACACCCTTGAGGTAAGAAATGGCCTCTCTCTTCCATCTCCTCCGCTCACTTAGTTTTGTTGCAGACAATATTATTTTGGGGACGGATAATCTAGAAACTCCCCTATAGAAAAATACAAAAAAAACCCCTATAATATTCGTTATAGTAGATTTTTAAAAGAAGATTTATAAGAGTAATATATATATATAATAGAAAAAGTAATATATATTTGGGAAACATATTGCGTAATGTATTTGCAGAGACATCTGTGGATGTCAAAGAAGTCATGAAGGTGGTTTCAACTTCATGATCAAAGCCCCATTAGACATTGGCTAGGCTTCAGTTGTGCCATCAGGGCTACCACCTTGACCTTTTAACACCCACCCCCAATGGCCCTGGTGCTCCCCAGTAGTGAATTCTCACATTCATCTTTAGTAGCTCAGCAGTCAATGTATTTCCCTCCAAGAGCCTGAAATGGTGGTCTTTTTGCTGTCACCAAAGTTCCACCTTGCTTTTTCATCTTCTGCCTTGACAGATATTTTTGATGACCCAACTATTTTGACTCTTTTCCCTCGCATATCTTCTGTATCCATTTGAAGTCACCCAGGATGGACCTGGTCTTGCAACAGAGTTGAATGTGTCCTTTCCACCTTACACTTCAATCACAAGGATTTGAGTTGAAGTATTTCCTTCCCCAAAGCTGAATGCTCAACGCATTGTGATGAGTTGAGTATTGGTTCATAATTTTCTAGCCAGAAATCTTTTCTTTGCTTTGGATGACTTGTAAAAACTTGAGTTGAATTAGTCTTCAAGGAGACCCTTTTCCAAGAAAAGATCATTATGAAATAAAAGCTGGACCTGCTCCCTCGCCTCGCCTTGTGGTTTCCCAATGAAGACAAGTGGGAATTGGTCAATCATCTTGCTTATTGTGCCAAAAGTATGCAAGAAAAGAGATGGAGTCCTGAATATGTGCAGAAAGAACACAGAAAGTCCTTGGCTGAATGTTTCTACTTCTTGAAGAAGTAAGTAGGGGAGGATATAAGTAAAACAGTCATGGTGGCACTCACAACAATACAATTGAAGCATTCTATTCTATTCTATTCTATTCTATTCTATTCTATTCTATTCTATTCTATTCTATTCTATTCATTATTTTTTTCACTAGACTATCCATGCCCAGTTCCCGTAATCGTTCTTCATATGTTTTATCCTCCAGTCCCCTAATCATCTTTGTTGTAGAGGACCAGTGGTCAGACCTGAAGGACTTTTGACATCTTCTCAGATTACCATGTACTGAAACCACGCCTGGTGGGTACTAATAAAAAGTTGATATGATACCTAAGGTGACTTCTGGAAGTTAATGGGCATAAGCTCACAATCTCTAATTAATACAAACTTTTTATTTATGTATACTAGAGAGGAACATCATCATACATAATTAATCTAAGGCAGTGCTTTTCAACTTCAGCAGTTTGAAGATGTGTAGGCTTCAACTCCCAGAATTTCCCCAGCCAGCAATTTTAGGAGTCGACATCTACCCATCTTGAGGTTGACAAACACTGAGCTAAGGAATCCAAAAGTCTCGTCAAGAACCAGAGAGGATATAAAATCAAGGTTTTCATGCCCCTGTCAGTCTTGTCGCATGGGTCCCCTTATACCTGTTAAGGATTAGCCAGGATATTGAAGAACCCTGATAGATCTTGGTTTTCAAACAAGACGTCCATCACAGCTTGGGAAGGTAACAACCTGAAGTTCGGAGAAACCATTTAATAGCAGTTGGCAGTTCTGAATGCAGGAATTCAGAATGTGGAGGAAGCTAAAACTTTTTCTCTGGCATTAATGGATCCGACGTGTCCTCTGAAGTGCGGGAGCTGTTTAATTGAATCGATGTTGCTCTCTGGGATGAGCGAGCAGAACATGCAGCTTTTGGGTTCATTACAAATGGCTGTGCCAGCTGCCGCAGGAGTGCTCCCACTTCGGCTGTCTTTATTAATGCACAAATAAAATCAGTGTTGCTAGGGCACCGGAAGCTTCTGCCAAATAAAGCCAAACGTAGCAGTGCTCCTGCACAACTTCTCACTTCTCAGAGAAGTGGAAAGTATATCGGTTGTCCAGCTTGCTTGCCGTAACAGCTTCTCTCTCAAAAAAAAGGATAAACAGATATTGATGAAGCGCTTTTTTCTTCAGTAGCAACGGGATGCTTAGCAGTCTTTCTTCTCAGTTCCAGATTGGTGCAGTCATTACTATTGGGAGATGCACACTTAAAACAGTTATCCTGTTGGGGTGAAATCTCGCTCATAGGACCAATGCTAGAGCTGGTGGTCCTGGATTGGATTACTAGTTCTCGGTGAGAGCGGAGTCACACAATCAGCAGCCTTAGAAAAGGTATCATTTGGGGGATGGAACTGAAAGTTTGAATGTTCCCCTAAACCAGGGGTAGGCAACCTCGGCTCTTTTATGACTCACGGACTTCAACTCCCAGAATTCCTGAGTCAGCAATGCTGACTCAGGAATTCTGAGAGTTGAAGTCCGTGAGTCATAAAAGAGCCGAGGTTGCCTACCCCTGCCCTAAACAAAACACAACACCCAGGACTAACATGTTGCCCAAAGGTGTGCAGAGACTTTATCCAAAGGCTGCCTAAGATATATTCAAGCCATTCATCTCCTTGGTTTAATCTGACATCAAAAATGGTCCCAGACAAAGTCAGATTGTTATATATTTTTTAAAAAATATTCTTTATTATTTTTCAGTACAACAAAAGTATGGGAAAATCAAAGAAATATGAAAGAAAGTAGCAAATAAGAAAAAAAATGAAAAAAGTAAGAAAACATAGATTTTTGATCCCCCCCCTTAACTCTTTTTAATCCCAAAGGTCAGGAATCCGCATTGCAAAGCACAGAAGGAATTATATTGTCAGAACCAGCCCTACGACTTTGGTACAAGCCATAGTTTGTATGCAGGACAAATAAGGTCAGGCTCCTTTTCCTTCTGTTGCTTTCCAGGATGGGACATTTCAGTAGCTGACCTTGTTGCAGTCCTAAGCCTTGGGAATGTTCTGTTTTTATGGATTTGACCCCTTGATTAGGGTTGCTATTAATTTTTCAGGGAAATTTTTTCAGGGAAACTGGTTTTTTGGTTGCAATTGACTGATTGAAAGAAGATTTTAAACCAGAGACTTTCCCTAATCATTCTGGAGATGCTGGAATTCATTCTGGGGCCCCTTTGCATGCAAATCACGAGGGCTCCCAATTAGTTTATCCCCATCTCCTATAAAACAGCCTATTCCCGTTTCAAAATTCTGTTGAATGAGCAAAAACCTACGAAGCTTTACAAAAAAAAATGTGCACAAATTTGTATTTTCAAGGCAAACATTGTTTAAAAATCTAGGGAAAATAAAGACACGCCTGTATGTCCACACATTGCTTTCTAAGCTGTGATTAGCTTAGTCATAGTTTATTGGATAAACTGCAACTGGTTGGTACATGTATTGGAGTAAATTTTAATGGGTGGTTGGAAATCGCAATGACTGAATTCATACACTGTGTTAGACTGTATTAGGCATCTACTCTCAACTCCATTTTGTCAGCCACCCCAGAAACAGGCTGCTGTCACTGAAGTTTCTGGCAACTAAATAAACAGAGACCTCCTTTCCAAAATGTGGCCTGCCTCCGTTTTATTTTCAGTGTCTTTCTCCTGGCTTGGAACCAGACCAGATTTTTGTCCCAACAAGACCTAAATTTTGATTTGAGCTTAAGATGCTGCAGACATTCTTGGGAGTGTTGGCAAGAACTCGGACACAGACTGGACCTGGGAGGCAGGAGGTGCTATTAGTCTGTACTAAGAACCTATACAAGAACATTTTTTTCATCTTTTGGAAAATATGAGATCAACTGGCTGAAAGTACAGCTAGCCCTCGACTTACAATAGTTCATTTAGTGGCCATATGAAGTGACAACATCACTGAAAAGGTGACTTATGACCATTTGTCACACGGCCGTTGCAGCATGCCCACGGTCATGGGATCAAAATTCAAATGCCAGGCAATTGATTCATATTTATGACGGTTGCAGCATCCAGGGATCATGTGATCCCCTTTGGCAAACTTCTGACCAGCAAATCGATGGGGAAGCCAGATTCATTTAACATGTTACTAACAAGTGCAATGATTCACTTAACAATTGTGGCAGGAAAGGTCATAAAATGGGACAAAATGACCTTTAACAAATGTCTTGCTTAGCAACAGAAATGTGGGGGGGGGGGGGGCTAAGTCGAGGACTGCCTGTGGCTGAAATCCAAGCAGAAAGACTTGGCGGTTGAAATTTATGCTGAAGCACAAATGATCGAACCCTATTATTTAATCCAGGCTGCATGATCCCTTTGCCAGATACAGCATCTCCAGTCATTGTTGCTTTGTGAATGCAGCCGTTGAGGAGTAGAATTGCATCCTGATGCCTGGATTATTTGAGTGGTGTTCTAAGAAGTCCTCCCCCCCTGTGAGCTCCGAGGCTGCCCAAGAATCTATCTTTAGCTTAACAGATTGATTCCACTTCCACCCTGCCTGGCTATTCATCCAAACTCTCCAAGCAATTAAAAGTTTTGTTTGTTTGTTTGTTTAAAAAATGCAAAAACACAAATGATAAAAACAGATGCAAATAATACAGGGGGAGGATCTGTTGTAACAACAGGAGGGGTCCCAAGGCTGCTTTTCCCAAAAGGCAACTGGACTTTCTTGTGGTTTTTGTCTCTGAAAACGTTTCACTTCTCATCCAAAAGAAATTTCTTCAGTTTTGTCCTGAAGAACTGAGGAAGCTTCTTGGAGGAGGAACGAAATGTTCTTACAGAACAAAACCAAGAGAGTCCAGCTGCCTTTTGGGAAAAAAGCACTTTGGGACAACCGCGACCTGGAGGATCGAGAGTGCCAAGCGTGAAACTTGGGCAGCCAGGTGCCTCGGTGGACACGCAGCCGTGCTGCTTGTGGTGGATCACGCCTTCCCCGTCCGCCGCTCTGCCTCTTCCGCCCTGACTCCATTACGCCCAGTGGACGGGCATGGTGCTGCAGAGGAGGTTGATGGCGGCTCCCAGCGTCGAACGGTGAGCTGGCACTGCAGAGAAGTTTCCCACCGGCTTCTCTCTCTGTCCAAGGGGCAGCAGGGCAGGGGGTTTCTGCAAGAGGAGGGGGAAGAAGTATTGCTCCACTCAGAAAGAAACTCAACAGCAAGCAGCTCGTCCTCATGATGGGTAGAGCTGGTTTCATTTTGGTGACTGCAACTCAAGTTATAGCCATTCATTTTAGTGACCGCTCGAAGTTACAACGGCACCGGAAAAAAGTGAGTTATGACCGGTCCTTGCACTAAGGGCTGTCGCAGCATCCCCAAGGTCACATGATCAAGATTCAGTTGCTTGGCAACCGGCATGTATTTACCACAGTTGTACAGCCATTGAGTTGAGTTGCAGCCATTCCCCCATCATGAACGTGCTACTTTTTCTTCTTGTTATTACTCACGTGAACATGCTGGAAGATCTCCATGACAGCATCCAGGCTTTGTATATCCTTCTGGTTCATTTTGATGACATAGCAGGACTCTCCTGGCCATGATCTGTAGCCAATCACCAGCTGTTCAAAGGCAGAATGTGGAGATGAGCTTGCGATGGCAAGAATCACATTGGCAAGAATCAGAACTTTGGGTATCTGATCACAGAGCCCACTCAGGACATCCCTGCACCTTTTCCCCATTGTTGAATAAAATCCCTTACTATCCCTCTAGGCCAGGGGTAGGCAACCTTGGCTCTTTTATGATGCGTGGACTTCAACTCCCAGAATTCCTGAGCCAGCATAGCATCATAAAAGAGCCAAGGTTGCCTATCCCTGCTCTAGGCAATTCCTTGAAATAGATTTGAGGAGCGATCCAGATTCTGCTTTGTTACACATGTTGCAAACACAGAGCAAACCCTACTCCCTTCTAGCACTGATGATGTTACCTAGTTGGGTAATGAAATGTCTGCATGAAAACTACCAAGCATGGAGAGAACCAAGGACCCCACAGTTCAACCCTGAGTTATAGATATTCTCCTCTCTTGGTACATGTTGCAATACCCATTGCATAGGCATGGCCATTACCTTGAGTTTGTTTACCCCCCCCCCCCATTGTAAACATCTTAATCCATGAGAGACTAGGACCGGGGTGTCTGGAGGGTAAGGTCCAAAAACTCAGGATGGTGGCCATAATGGGGCAATCAATATTTTGCCTCTTCTTTATAGGAGTGGCTGAATGCAATCAAACCATCCTGGCCACCATTTTTTGAGTGCAACCTATAGACAATCTGTGGAAAGATTTTGGAACATCTCATAGAAGCAGAAAGCTGGAGGGTTTCATTCATCCCCCATCTCTTCTCCAAGCAAGAATCCAAATAAAGCACCTCTTTGGAATGGCTGACCAGCTCCTACTTGAACATTTGGAGTGAAAGGAAATAGAGCAAATATCCAGATGTTTGTCTAGCTTAGGGTTAGATTTAGAGGATCACTTGATGCAAAGCAGTAGTCCCTATGGGCCAGTCTCTCCTCTGTACAGTGATAATTATTTATCAGCTTCATTCATTCTTCCCCTCTCGCTGAATTGCAATAAGGAAGACCTTCCCCAAAACCTGGGACATATCTTTGGGTTGGAACTTTTCAGTAGACTCCTAAGATTCCATAGTGTCACAACAAGAACTAGAAGCTTACTTTAAAAAACAGGGGACAATATTTTGATTTTGAATAGGTGTCAGCCAGCTTCACAAGCAAACCTTTGGCCAAGACAAGTGAAGCCAGAAGAGAGTGCAAATCTTACATTGCTGTAATCGTAAACCACGGTGGCCGAAGAGTTGAGCTTCATGTGGATGGGAAATATGGCCAGTCTTTCCTTCCGGCTCATGGCCAAGTGCTGGGAGGAACCTTTGCCATCCAGGCCTTGAATGGTCATTTGCAGGACCTAGGAATCACCAAGAAACCAAATGGGAATCAGAACTTCCAGAAAGGACGAAGACCATTGGCTTGTGTCACGCATCACACAGAACTTATCCTGGTTTAAGAAAACCAGCCGTTGAGTCAAAAATGCCTGCGCTGCCCAGGATGCCTCTGCACAGGGGGAAATCCAGGCTTCTTCCCTCCAGAAGATTCACCAAGAATCTTAACTCACGTTGGAGGGAGCAGGTGAGGGAAAGGGATCAGAGCCCTCTCCTTGAAGATGGGGACCAAGGACATCTTCACGTAACGAAGGGTAGAGCGTCAACCACACAATCATGGCCATCACCCTGATTTTTTTGAGTGACTCTAGTGAAGATGAATTATTATGAACTTTTCTGGAAGTCCCTTCCATAGTCTCACCCCAAGAGCCCCGGTCAAGCTGCCCTTACCGCCTCAGTATGTTTCTCGGTGATGTGCAGCCCTGCCAGCAGGAAAGTCAGGACCACCAGAACCATCCCCACGATGACCATCGCCACGACCAAGAGTGCTCTGCTAGGAAGGTCAGGAGGCTTGGGAGATGCTGTGTAATCCTGCAGGACCAGAACAGATGTGAGCATTCCTCTCCCAATGCTGGATTTCATCTCCAAGGACATAATGAGATAGACCCTCTGCTTTTTGTATTCCCTCCAGAAGTCACCCTGAGACAGAAGATATCCATCCCCTCTTCCCTTCCCCCAGAGGGGTAATGACAACCAGCTAGGGAGCTATTTCCTCCGAGTAAATTAACAAATTTCTCATTTAGCAATATAAATTTGGGACTCAGTTGTGTTTGTTCAGTTGTGGACTACCTGTATTCAGGCAACAGACTTGGGGCATCTCTAGAGGTGGCAGAAGAGGAATGAAACCTTTCTGGTGGGTGAAACACGAAAGGGCTGAAAGCTTGGAAGGAAAGTTTTCATAAGTTGTGCCCCCCTATTAATTGACTAAAGAGTTGGGTAACTAGAACTCTCCACCTCAGTTATCATATATTATGGGCTATCTCTAGCTGGCTCTGTTTCTCTAGCTCCCGTCCCATACATTGTTCCACGTTAAAGTTGCAGGAACAAAAATTCTTCCCAGGAGGAGTGAAACTCACCGGTGGTGGTTGAGACATTAGTGCCAACTTGCTGCTGTCGTCCATCTTGTAATCAACTTCCATTCCAATCCTTTGCTCTCCAGCAGAGAATTTTCTTTATTTTTCTGGAAGGCAGAAGGACCTCTACTTATACTATGCACCTGATGCTAAACTCCTCCAGGGGATTGGTCAGCTGTCCTCCAGCCTCATTGCGACTCTGTTGGCCAGCAGCCAGTCTTGCTTTTAGGTAGCGTTTCTTGCCAAGTCTTCTCAGAACAATCCAAAAGTGTTATTTGGACACATGTCATTCAAACGTTTCTGAAGAACCCTGTCCGTAAGCAGAAGGACCTTCTAGAAACAAGTAGTCTCTTGTGGTTCCTAAACCTAAACACAACTTGTTCCAAAGTCAATTTGGGAAGTACAAAGCCCTCCTCATTCAGACCCATTTTGAAATCGCTCCTTGAAAAGTTCTTAAGATGTTTGACAAAAACACAAAAGCAGGAGCTTCTGAGAACAGCAACAGTATTGAGAGAATGAGGGTCACATTATTGGAAAGAAACCTGGAGCCAAAGAGAGGGTGTGTGTGTGTGAGGAGCTGTCGCTCCAGCAGCCACCATCATAGTTAATGGTGTGGGGTGCTGGGCATTGAAGTTAAACAGTTCTGGAGAGACACGGAGTTGCCACCTTGTGTTATCACAGCAGGCATTCAATTGCTGGAAAGATGGCAGTATAATGATACATTTCTTCAGAGCTTGCCAATAAGATATTCTAGCTCCTAAAGAGAAAGATCTAAAGAAAGCCTCTTCTTTCATCGTTTAAGCCACAGCTTTCCAGGAAATACTCCTGCACCCACCAAGGGAAAAATGAATGGAAGCTGTTTAAGGGCATACCAGGGCAATAATCCCTCAGACGTAGGCAGGAAAACCCAAATGCACAGGTGTAGAATAGGTGATGCCTGGTCCAACGGTAGCGATCTCGGTGTCCTAGTGGACAAGCACTTCAACACGAGCCAGCAATGTGCTGCAGCAGCCAAAAAAGCCAATGCAATCCTAGGTTGCATCTACAGAGGGTTAGCATTAAGATCATGAGAAGTGAGTCTCACTTCATATTTCACCAGTGAAGCCACATTTGGAACACTTCATCCAGTTTTGGACACTGCGATACAAAAAGACCCTAGACCAGGGGTCTTCAAACTTGGCCCCTTTATGACTTGTGGACTTCAACTCCCAGAATTCCTCAGCCAGGCACGCAAAGCTTTGACTGTGCGATTGTGGTGGCCAGCGTTGTCTATTTTCAACCCAGGCTGCAGGAACCTCTGTGCTTCGGTGAACCCTGATATTACGGTACAATGTGCTTAATTTATTAAGTGTAGCTTTGTGGATGCAGAACTGTCTCTTAGTCAACCTGGGATTAAAACGGAGTGAATGTTTTGTCCTCACATCTTTGCATCTCGATCTGGCAAAGATGACATGTAAGCATAGCAATAAATGTAAAGCAGGGACCCCCTGAGGGTTTTGCTCCTCCTCCCCTCCCACCCAGCGATGGGGGCTTGCAGTCTGCCCCAAAAGCAGTCAGCTTCTGCTTGGCCTGGCCCCAGGAGCCTTTGTGCCCGTCTCAGTCCGGCTCTGGGTGGCAAAAAAGTGGATTGCAAAGCTCAAGTCACCCCCTTGCACACTTTGCCCTTTGTTGTCTGGGACACAGCTGTGCCTGGAACAAGAGATGTTTGTGCCTGTGCCACACGCTGCTCTTGCACTGGCTCCTGGCCCCCAGTGGACTCCATTCAGTCACCAGCACAATGGAGGAGAGTGGGAAGGCGAGCAACAACAATGATTGCAGCCAGAAGCCCAGTTCAAAGGCTGGTGATGAGCCAGTTGTGAAAGGAGCAAAGAGGCCAGAAACATCTGGATATTGCAAATGGTGTAATCTCTGTCTGTCCAAAGTCACATTCTCTGGGCAGCATCAGGACTTTTCCAGAAGACGCTGGTGTGCAAAATTCAGACCTGACTGGTGTCCCGTATCTCAAACTTGACAGGTGTAGAACAAAAAGCAGTTTTAGAAGCAATATTTGGACATGCGGGATGGGGGGGGGAACTGTGGAGGTTGTAAGGATCAACTCATACGGTATAATTGATCTAAACTAGACTGAGCTAGAGCTCCTTTTTGAAATGCAAGCCTTTAATTTCTTTGCCTCGCCGTGTCTTAACTCCGTTTTCCTGCTTGGCATCAGACTGCATGCCATAAAAGAGAATCACGCAAGGGCTACCGGTTCGACACCTGTCAAGTCTGAGATACGGGACACCAGGCAGGTCTTTGCAAAACGACTCAGGGGACGAGAAGATGCATTGTGCAAATCCATATTAAGCCCCCCGCCCCACCCCACCCGGCCAGCGCAGGGCACGGGATGGCCAGCGCCACAGCGCCGGCAAGAGGCGCGCCCCACGACCCCGCGCTTGACATGGGACTGCTCTGCCCCCTCAAAAAGCCAGCACCCCACTCGTGTCTTGCAGCCTCTAGGCAACCCAAGCCCCCTTTTAGTATCTTGGGCTCCTCGCACCACGCTCCTCCGACGGCTCTTTCTCTTCGCCCCGAAGTTGGGGTGAGGCTCCCCTGCCTCTCGCCCCACCCAGGAGCCGCGGGTGCCACGTGCTTCCCCCCCTCCTCCCGCTGCCCTCGAGAGTCCCCGGCGCTTCCCTGGCCCCGCTCTCCCCCCCCAGCGCCCCCCCCGCCCGAGGCTGGCGTTTGCAGCCCGCTCCCGCGCCTCCCTCTCTGCCTGCCACCCCCGCGCCGGGCGGAGGAGCCGAGCGCCGCGCTCTGCAGGACTGAAGCAGCCCGCTGGCCAGTTGGGCTCCAGCCGCCGCCAGCCAGCCGGCCGCGGAGGAGGAGGAGGAGGAGGAAGAGGAAGGAAGCCGGCCGGCGGGGCCGCCAGCTCAGCCGGAGCAGCAGGTCGCCTGCGGGGAGCCGCGTGGGCGCCGCGCCTTCCCGGGAGCAGCGGCTGGGCGAGGCGATGGCCGGTCTGCAGCGCCGGAGCTCAGGCTGCCCCGCGGGGCGCGTCCTCCTCCGCCTCCTCCTCCTCCTCCTGCTGCCCTTGCTGGGCCTGCTCTGCCTCGGGGCGCCGGTGTCCTCCCGCCGAGCGCCCCGGCCGCCCCCCTGCCCCGCCAGCTGCTCCTGCACCCGCGACACGGCCTTCTGCGTGGACTCCAGGGCGGTCCCCAAGACCCTCGCCCGGGACGTCATTTCCCTGTGAGTGGCAAGGCGGACTTCGCTGGGGGGGGGGGCGGGGGGGGCAGAGTGGGGAGAGAAGGAGTCTTGGCATCTCCCGGTGGGTCTTTTTGTTAGACCGCGGCAGGCAATAAGACACGAGTCGAGTGACAGTCAGCTCTCGGTTTATTGGCAAGGCGTCAAGTAAATCCGGACTGGCTCTCTGGGCCAGGGGAGCCCTCTTTTATGGGATTCCCCTGGCTTGTAATCACACAATTCCATTGGCTGGCAAGACCCCGTTGCTAGTTAGCCAACCAGCAACGGGCCTGAAACTGTATGCAGATGGAGAAGGGCCATCACCCTTAATGGGCGATCAATGGAGAAGGGCCATCACCCTTAATGGGCGATCAGGATGCGCATAGGGGATTAAGGGGGGGGGAATACAAAAGAACACAACACTTTTAGCCCCGCAACAACTCTTCGGGGGCAGGGCGGGGAGAAGCTTCGCGGGAGGCGGGCTTGCGGTGAGTTTATGACTCAGTGGAAATTCCAACCGCGAGAAAATTACATTAGCCTAGAAGCTCTGGGGAGCTCGTCCAGGACGGTTAGTTCTGAAGGATATAACAGCTACTGGTAATTGTCAAATTTGTCGATACAATTTTGAAATATCGTAAGTTGCGTGACTGGATGGGCAGCAAAGTTGCCTAATGTTCCAAAAGGAAGTTCTGTGAACATTAAGAAGAGACGCTCTATGTGGTCTCCTGTTTAGTGACATTTTATTTATTTATTTTATTTATAATTTGATTTGTATCCCGCCCTTCTCCTCACCGGACTCAGGGCGGCTAACAGCCTTATAAAACAACATTACAACAAATATCCATATTAAAACCAAATTAAAAGAAAATATTCGTAAAGGCCAATCGTTAAAATTACCCTTAAAATTACCCTTAAAAACCCCACTAAAAATTCCCCTAGGCCAAACCCGCTTGTTGGAAAAGCCATGTCTTTAGGGCGCGGCGGAAGGAGGGGAGATCCGGGATCACCCGGATCTCTGGGGGTAGTTCGTTCCAGAGGGTGGGGGCTCCGGTAACAGTCTTCCAATATTTGAGGGGCCGTCACAGAGAAGAAGGGATCAACCTCCAAAGCACCTGAGGGCAGGACAAGAAGCAACGGGTGGAAATTAATCAGGGAGAGATCCAGCCTGGATCTAAGGAGGAATTTCCTGACAGTGAGAACAATTAACCAGTGGAACAGCTTGCCTCCAGAAGTTGTAAATGCTCCAACACTAGAGGTGTTCAACAAGAGATTGGACAGCCACTTGTCTGCAATGGTCTAGATCTAGGATCTCCTGCTTGAGCAGGGGGATGGATTGGAAGACCTCCAAGGTCCCTTCCAGCTCTTGTTATTCTGTGTTCTGTACCTTCACACTGTAGAAGGACCTGGCTGAAAACGAATACAAGTAACAAGGAAGACATTTTGTCGGACTGTTTAGAGAAACATACTAAGGATTATAACTCTTGAGAGCAGAACAACTCCAGATAATAAGGGGGTGGTGGGCTCTCCTTGGGAGACTCATGTCAGCAGAAGCTGGATGGTGACATGTCAGAGTTGCAGCTTCCTTCTCTAATAGATTTGCTTTAAGCAGTGGGTTGGAACAGGTGACCTTCAAGAGGTTTTTTTTTCAGTTCTTTAAATCTGCAATTCTGTAGGGAGAAGCTAAAACTTCACTGCTGCCAAGAGATCATTCCTGCAGTACTGCACAGTGCAAATACCTAGGTGAATTCCTTAGGTGAGATGGGCGGTATAGAAAGGTGACCAATAAATAAAATTTTGATTGCATTTAGTTGGGATGCCCTTATGTTGATGGTGGGACCTCTGGGTGGTGT